ATGTAATAAAATATACAAGATGAGAGAAAGAAAAAGATAAATAAATAAATTGTTACATTTTTTTGTTTATACAATGTCAGATAGATATATCGAGCTATATCACATACACACTTATAAATATGGTACATTTATAAGTTGTTATGTCTCTTTATTTAGGTCTAACAAGTGTCCATCATTCAGACATTGTGAGTATAAGAAAAGTCAAAGTCTGTGAAATACTCTAACATCAATAAAAAAGTATCACGCTAGTGAACGTACTTGAGCTAAGTACTTGCGCAAGTACTTGGATTAAGTAATGAGGATAGAACTTGTTGCATTTTTTATTTTGTATTTTATACATATTCTGGAGCTATACTCTATGTTTGTAGAGCAAATACATGCACGACTAATAAGTTTGTTCAACTTAGTAGAAATATTTAAGTTCCTTTTATAAGTGTATAACGATTGATATTGTGGTGTTTATCTACAAGTAGTCAACTCAAAAGAAAAGAATAACTGACTTATCCGAGTACTTGACTGAAGCAACTCAAGTAACAACACATGGCAAGTTCTTGTCAAGTACTTGCCAAGTGCTTAACTTGTCATGTCCTTTCCATGGTACTCATCAGGTTACTTGTACCAAGTACATTCACTAGGATCTGGTATATAAAATATATGAATTGTGAAGTGAGCGCGGACAGGAGTTTTAAATATTCCTAATGTTACAAAAATGACGTCCAAATGGAAATATATAACATTTTCTTATTCTATGTATTCAAGAATTGTGAAAATAAATAGATAGATAGCTTTAGTTGCTATCAAATATTGTTGTTTTAAAAGATAGATAAATATATACCACAGTTAAAATAACCAGATTGCGCATATGTCTGTTTGCTATATGACAGCTCATCTATATAGCTATATAGTGCAACATCTTTTTAATGTTTAAGACAACAGCAGCGCATTTCAGTTTTATATTTTCCTGTCCATCCAATGTATATATATAGTGTGTTTATGATAAAAAACATAAGCCTCCCCCCAAAAAATGATTTCTTTTATTGGCACAGCGCACCTCTCATATGTTTTGTTTTTTCGTTGTTAAAAGACGGACATATAACCCATGAATGTTATGTTTGAGAACGTAATACGAACACGACCTTATGCTCATTCTCTCATGCAGCTGTTCGTTAAAAAATGTGAATATGCCTACTGACAGCTGGCTTTCAGACGATATATGTAAAATTCTTTCTGCTTTTTAGCTAACAAATGCACAATAAAGTCATATTTAACAGTCAAATCTTGATTATAGATTGTCTTCAGTTTTCCGTTCAGGTGTTCAATCAACAGTAAGAACATATCATAGCAGTTGAAACGAAATAGAATGAGTGACCACGTCATAAAATATATTTTTTCTAGGTTTTATTTGATAGTAATAGGTTTATAAGACTACCGATAAAATTTGATAACAATCTTTTTTTCTTAAAACATGAACACTTGACTCCTATTAATTAATATTTATACAGTTGGTGTGCAAACGAATATTGATACATATTTTTTCTCATTTCTGCAGTGTATCATTTTAATCTCAAAAAAAAACAAATAGACTTTAAATTTTATATGGTGTCGGCATCATTATATGTAGATATATCCGTCGCAAAAAGAATAGCAACAGTTTTTTTTTTTCGTTTGATGTGTTTTTTTTTCATAAATTGGTGTCACATCTATCTAGATAGATATATCGAATTTCTAAATGTGATACCATGTGTCGTTGATCGTTTTTCACGAAGACAAACAAGGACAACGCAATGTTCAATCAAAATATACGCAATAAGAAGAAAAAAATAAAAATAAAACGTATGTTTTTGGCTTTAATTAGTTTAAAAACATGTTGATCGGTTTGAATCAATTGTCTATAACAAATATTTGTATTTTCTAATCATTCTCTTTCCCTCGAGGCTCACCATTCTTTTCAACGATAGTTAAATACATCCTTTTTTTTTTCTTGACAACAAATAGTTTCAACCGTTAAAATTGAACGCATTAAATCCCTACCATATATTTTAGAAAGATTACAGAGTAAACCGAACGTTATGACGTAAGTAGAATCAAAAACTGATTCCTTCAAACTTCGAGAACATTATTTTTTTATCATGTTCGGTAATAAAGCTTCTAATATACTAAATTTTGATCATTTACCTAAATTTATTAGTGACGATCTGATCGTTTGAATTGTATTTCGTTCAAGAGATGTAAAACATCAAACTTTAATTGAGCAAAATTAGTCCATTCTTCTAGAAACTTTCATCAGCAAAAGAAACAATTATAGAAGCGATAAAGATTAGACAAACCAGATGAATTAAAACTGCGTATGTTTAGCAAAAAATAAGAGATCAATTACATCGATTTTTTACGTAAACATATGTTGCGATCTGTTTTCTGGTATTAAACAAAACAAAAAAAAAAGAGAAAGAAAAAAAGGATTTTACATTCACATTGACATATGGTACTTCGAATTAGTAATTCTGTTTTTCTCCACATACATATCGAAACCAAAAGCCTATAGAAAATCTTTTGGGGGTGATCTTGCTTCTCTTTTTTTCCTCTGTTTCTTCCTTTCACGCATAAGTTATTGTTCAATATCTATCTAGCTAAAGTAGAAAGACAGATCGATATAGACCAAATGGCTATATTTACAAAAAAAAAAGAAGAAGAAAATAGTAGAAACATATGCTGGATACAATTTTTTTAACAAAAACATGTTCGAAATTTTTTTCTAATATAAAACAAAATGGATAGATCTTCGAACAGAATTTTATCCTGCAGAAAGAGTGTAGAAAAAGCAGATGGAAGAACATCTTTTTCTTCGGAAAGATTTTTTTTTTTCAACACATATAACTTTCTCTTTTTTTTGGAATCACACATACACACATCCTGTTTTTGTTTGTATATAATATATATTCATACGTTTTATGTCAACGTGATTTGATGAGAAAGTTTGCAGACGGAATTAGAAGTGAGAATTGATTGTTAAAAACGTGAATCAAACATTAACATAGAGCTGTTAAAATCAAAATTACTATGCGATTATTAACAAAAAATTATTGAAAATTTCCACACCTGTTTTGTACAAGAGTAGAAACTTGTTAAGTAAGTCTAATTAATGCTACATTTTCTCAATGAAAAAATGTGTTATAAATTATTTCTTTACAATAGTTTTCCCAACTTCAAACTTGTCGCTCTTCAAATTTTAGAATGTGAGAAAAAAAAGATAGAAACATTTCTTAACAAATAATATTAGAATACTGTTATAATCTATCTATAGCTATCTTTTTTATACTACTGTCTAAATATGCGATAACAATAATTGTTCTAATCAAATGATTGTTGATATTCTTCTTCATGTTCTTCATTTATAGTTCTCACTTCTTTTTTTTTCGATATTTTATAGACTTTGCACATTTTCATCTAGAATTCTTCTTTTATTGTTTTCTTTTTCAAAGTAACCTTTAAAAAAAACAGCTGTTGAATATACACAATCACGTATGGACAACGTACCTGTTTCGGATATTTATTTGTTTCGAACTTGAAATATAAAAGAGAGAAGAAGATAGTAGGATGCGTAAAATATCGTGCAGTGAAAAGTGTTGAAACATCTGCAGCACTTCTACTTTATATTACTTCTTATAATGCCACTTGTCTTGCTCACAAGTAAGTGGCAATACGTATAGTCAGTATGTGATGATTAGTCTTTTTTTTCTTCTTCTTTTGCTTCAGAGATCGATTATTATAAATAGATTAATGTACTAGACAGGAATGATAATCAGTTTGTCTTAGAAACAGACATGAAGTATGGTTCAAAAACAAACATATTCTATTGTATTCTCAATTTGTTATCAACAGGTCTAAACAACTCTTCGAAATCATCAGGTTTCAGTAATATAATTGAATAAAAACTGAGTTGTAACCGTTTTTCCTTGAGAAATACTGAGTGAAGGTCAACATCTTTTGTTTAATATAACGAAATTTCAGCTATAAAACTTATATGAGACCAAAACCGAATTGTATATCCATCTACTTACAGAGACTATTCTAAAAACTGTATAACACGAATTAGTCAAAATCAAATCGACTTAATCGATATTAAGTGTAAAATTAAACAAATGAGCAAATAAAAGAAAACGATAGAATTGTTTTTAATAGGAACATCTGTTTTCTCTTTAAATCAACGTTTTTCAATGAACACAAATAGAAATTAGTTGCAGTCGAATTTTTGTTCATCAAGTGAAAGTATAAAGACGTCTAATCCACCTTTTTTCGACAAACATTTAATTGTGTCTATATTTTAAATTTATTTCATCTTCGAATTGAAATAATGTTCAAAAGCTAATTCGCGTCGAATTGACGTCGCGACTAAGAGGAAAAAAAGAGAAAAACAATTGTGATGATGGTGATGGTCGTCTCTTCTTTCTGACAAAACAAAATTTTTTTAAGCAGAAAAAGATCATGATGGAAAAGCGAGAGATATGTTGAATAAATCCTTGCGTAAAGAAAAAGAAGAACAAGAAGAAGAAAGAAGAATGACAGATTAGAAATTATTTTTGATCGTGTCAAGATAGCCTGTTCGTGTTTTTTTAAGGATAAGAAGTAAAAACTGTTGAATGTAACGTTTTTCTTTCTCTGCTTTTTGGTAATATAAGTATAATGTACACTTGGTAAAGAAGATGATGGACAGCCGTTTTGTTTCCTGATGGTATTAATGAACAACTGTGTGTGTGCGTGTGTGTGTGTATATATATATATATATATATATATAATAAAATTAACAACAGTCGTTGAAAGCCTAGTGTATGCGTAATGTAATCTAATGCTGAAAGAAAAGAGAGAGGAAGAGAGAGACAGAATAATATGCATCTGTTCGACTATCTATTTTTTCTTCTTCTTCTTTAGTTTTAGATTATAAGTTGGGTATACTATATCATTAATATCATCTATCGAAGACGTTCAAAGGTAACTGCGATATCATGTCAACTAGTCCGATTTTAAATCGTAAACAACTACATTCATCATCAACGACAGACAGAATGGTGGAAGATAAACAAGAATTAAAAGAATATTTTGATAAACTGGCAAATCTTGTTCCTACTATACCTAGCCACCATGAATCATTATCAGAATTACAATTTATCCAATATGTGATGGAATACATTTTAGAATTACAACAATTATTAAATAACGATACGAATACGTCATCATCTGTTTGGAGTAAAACATTAAATAAATTAGCTGCAACAATGAAAACATCGTTTCCAAATATTTCGGCATCATCCACATTCAATACGTTCATTTCTTCGTCTCCTACTTCATCTACAAGCGAATATGAAAACAATCGTTTACTTCTTCTTAATCAATTATCAAATGAAGACATTAATCGAAGTCCTCTATCATCGATTAATATTGAAAATTATCATAATCAATCGCCGGTAAGACACTTATATCTGACTGAGCATCTTTGATGTCTAAAATTCAAGGAACAGTACAATATTAATTAAAAGAATCTTCTAAATCATTTCGGTTTTTGATAATACAGTGAATACATTTGATAAAGAATAATGGAGTTGGAGACACCGATTTGAACATAGTTTTTTAGAGTCGTATCAGTCAAAATTATACATTTTGATTGATGATGTGAGAAGTGTTTCACGAAATGTCTCTGATAAACTATGTTTAAATCGGTGCTTATTCATTATTCTTTATAAAAGAATCTTGTATACACTGTACGGATTAGTGTAATAAAGTTCATCGATCTGCACTGCCGGAAAGTACGACTCAACTACGATAACAGGTGATGTGATCATCAAACTTTGAGATGTTTTTTAGAAGCTGCGCGATAAAGAAATAATCATTGGGAGAGTGCAGCTGTAGAGAGTGTATAGTCGCAGTGTCCTGTTGTACCTAGATCGAAAATACATTAGCCAGCTGCAAATGGACTGAAATCGTACTCTAGCTAAAAAATGACGCTGCACTGTCATCGGCTAGTTGCAGATGAATTCAATCTATCTACATGTATTTGTATTCTACAGCAAACGTTCTCTTCATGTTTGTTTTCGTGCATGAATAAAGGCAATTTTTAAGTTAGGTAAGATCTATTCGAATGTAGGTTAGAAAATGTTCTTGATACAAGAAGCAATATTTGTATAGATCCAGTTCTTATAATCGCTACATCGCATTAGACAAATAGAAAATTTATTCTAAATTTTATTCTTTTTAGGTTCGCAAAACAGACGAATCAATAAGCAATTTGACAAATAAATACAGCGATCGTGTATAATACAATGTCTATTTGTTGAACAGTATAAATGTATCATCAATGATTAGTTGTGTTTGAAATCAAAACTATATATATGTGATTCTACTAATACTAAACGTTTATGAAATATGTGAATGATTTCGCTACTTTGCATTATCTTTAATTATTATTCTATTTTTGTTTCTGTTTCAATATTTTCTGTATAATCTGTTTCTTTCCTTGTCGATCGAGTATCAACAATGAGTTAATAATAAAAAACAAATTCTTTTGTTTGAATGTTAATAATTTTTAGAAAAGAAGCTAGAAACGTGTAGCCATTTTGAAAGAAGAAAAAGGATGAATAGATTTATGAATCTCATTCTTTAGAAATGTTTTGTTTGTACTAGCTTCGCGGTTATTTCTAATGATGTTTCATTATAATTTATTATCTTCATCGGCAAGAATTTGACAAGGGGGTCGAGTTAGAAAGGATACAGAAATTGCACTTTGATATCTCCACATTCCTAAAAATTATGATTTTTCACATTTGGCCGAAATATATTCATATTTACTGAGCACTAGTGTGTACTCAAATTATTTTTGTAGACTGTACTATATGATTTTCTATTAAGAAAGATTCTTAAGAATCTGAAGTTGTAACATATTGAGCTGCTGCGTTCGCCTGAAAGAGATTCAACAATAGATTGTTCTGTTGTTTTTATTGCAATGAATTAGTTTGTTTTCGAGTTTACCACTAAATGTTTCAGATATTGAAAACAACGTTCTATTACTATATAAAATGGATCATGTACAGAAAATCCGTTACTCCAACATTAATGACAATAAAATACAACGTATATAAATCTTTTTTTGTAAAAGTAAAAAGCCCTCAATCGATTCTTCCATCTACAGAAGTATCCAAATTCTGTTAGTTCTGCGCGCTATATTTGATAAATTCATTCCTCGAAGGTGGTGACTAAACCTACTAACTGTCTTTTTCCTGTTATAAAAAAATAAAAGAACATTTTTCGAACTTTTAATCATTTAATAGACACATATATGATGTTACCGCAAAATGGCACAACCTTTCCTATGCTTCCCTATACGGTTTCTAAAACCTTTGGTTTTTCAGTTGAAATTTGTTCTTCTCATTCAGAAAACATTTCGAATGACGTATCTCTCACAACTCTGCTAGAGTTTTGACTTATGACCTGAAAATTAGCCTTTAGTATTACATATCATCCACAGAAAAATAAAGTTCATTTACAGACCGTGAAAAAGTGCTTTTTCGTATTCAGCACATTTGATAATCCAGAAGATTTTCTATTTTTGGCGAGGAGTATTTCCAAAAGTTTAGGAAAAGTTTTCAAACTAATATTATTTTCTCATAGAAGCTTTTTGCGCCATTTTGTTCGAAAAATTTTCCTAAACTTTTGACAGTACCTCTCGTGAAAAATAGAAAATCTATTGAGTTATCGAGTATGCTGAATACAAAAAAGCACTTCTCCACAACTCTAAATGAACTTTATTTTTTTCTTCACGTTAAAAAATGGGACAAGTATAATTTCCTAAAATGAAGTGCTGAACTCAGTGATTTCTATTTTATACAATAGATTATCGATAGTTATATCAGATAAGAGCAGACTTGCAAGCATACCGTTTCTATGCATTTTAAGCTATATAACGGTGATATCCAAAATTAGTACGCTCGATTACATAAATTCAGATGGAATATGATCTCAAATAATGAAAAAGTTCTCAATGTTCGTGAGAGCCAGAGACTTTCAAACAGAAAATTTTTAATCAGTTTAATCAGTTAAAAATTCGAAGCTGGTCATCGCTATTTAAATGTTTTTTGAGAAGATTGTGAATGAAAAAGGGACTTACCGTACTCCATCTCTTAAACCTTGTTTTACACTTTTTATCCTAGTCTTTTCAATCTTATGTCATGTAGTAATTCAGAAGTAAATTTACTTGTAAGTACCTGCGTCACTTACAAAGACTTCATTTTTCATGTGACAAGTACTTTCACAAAGTACTACGTAGCGGTAAAGTCAAGTATTGCTATCTTAGAGAAGTACGTATAAAGTACATAATAAGTGAGTAATTTCGAAAATAATTGGCAATTTTTCTAAGTGCTTACTAGACAATACTTGAATCACTACCTAGATCACGTATGCTAATTAGGGTACACGTTGATTTATAATGACCATGGTATCGGATGAATTATCAATGCAACGTTTACCTGCATTTTGCTTGCTGTGCCTGGGAAAAAATTAAAATATCGCAAAATTTCTTTTAACAATAGTGTGTCAATCAATCATACACGAACAATCAGTTTGTGATAACCGACTCAAAGCATGGTATCGAGCACGACTTCCGCGCAAAGATAATTTGATCAATCAGTGTTTAATTCGTTGAGCATGTGATCTAAATGTGAACAACACGGTTGTTTCCCGTCAGCCACAGGGTTGCCAACCGCAGCGCTAGTATTAATGCGTTTTTCCAATTTTTCAGAAGAATGTATTGATACTAGCGCTCCGGTTGGCAACCCTGGTCAGCCATCAAAGATAGCCGTCAGGAGCTACTTTCTACGTATTTTCACGTAGAAAGTGGCTCCTGACGGCTATCTCTCAGGCTAGCGGAGAACAACCGAACAACGTTCTTTCACAGCTCTGTTTACTATCCATAGGCTTGGATAGGATGATCGTTGAATTGCTATCTAAACGAGAACGAGAAGGTTACGGGTGACATCTATTTCGTAAATTTTCAAATTCTTAGGCTATAATGGAATTTAAAACGAATTTACGTAAATTATACAAAAAGTTTCTTCGTTTTCTTAGTCCGAATTCTACTCGGCATTCTAAGCAACAGTTATAAAAGATAACTAGGACTGATGAAGTCACAAGTTCTACGGAATTCAAGTTGGTCGTTTTTCGTGATAAGAAGTTCATGGTAGCTTATCTTGATCGACCGATGAAATTTTTCAGCGTTCTCAAGTATAATATATGTCAGATCATTAAAATCTCCCTTAAAGTAAAAAAACTGACGTCTAAACTCTGAAGACGAATTGCATAGGAGAATGCGGTTAGGAGAATCTCTCTGGGTGAACAAAGTTACTCACTTTCAAACGGTTTTTCGCCTAACGATCCTTAGAAAACTTCTGGCTGCGGCTCTGAATTTCTGAGCAAGAAAAAGATCGTTTCGAAAACTATTGGTGATTTACTCAAACTTCTCCGTCCTTTCAAACTTTATATCGAAAATACTGATAAGTACTCACTTTACCCGCAGAATGAAACATCAGAATCGTTTGAATAAAACTGTTGTGGGATCATCCAGCGTGATGACTTGATCAACAGCTTAACTTTGGCAGCGATAATTAATACTTCTTAGCAAAAAATGAAAAAACAGACAGTCAGATAGCGGGTGTAAAAAGCGAAAAATTTTCGAAAAATCGAAGAGTTAGCAACAAAACTGATGTGAAATGAGTTTACTGAAGAGTATATCTCAAGACTTTGACAGATGTTTGAGATCCGTCGCACGGATCTGTTTTACTTCTAATGCCATTTCATCGAGTGAATCATCATCGGAAAGAGTTTTCCAAAAGCGAGTTTATAAAAAAAAGTACTGAAATATACTCTAATAAAATGTTAGAGAAAATGTTTAAATGTTATGTAAAACACATTAAAGGAGTCAATAGCTAATTGGCGAAAGAAGAATCCTTCTTTTTCTATTTGTGCTGCGTTTGGAAAAAATGATAACAACGCGTTTCGTTACTTTATTTAGATAAAATATTTCGAATTATGGCCGATTTTATTGAGAATGATATTAGTAGCGTTGTGTACCGATCGAATGATTCAATTAATAACTTCAAAATTCGGTATAGTTTTAGTATATCGCTATTTTCTTCTATAAATTTATTATTTTGCTGGCATTTAGAGTTATTTTGGAACGAGTAACATCAAGCGCTCTATTACCAAGTTTACAACGGTTAAAACTTGAAGATGAAATGGCTAAATTATTGTTAAAAGATGGACGAATAAGCGATGAAAAGAAGCCGACAAATGTTGATGTCGCACAAGCTTTGGATCTAACGAAACGTTCGCAATACGAAGAAGCAGTTATATCTTGGAAACAAAAAATGTTTAGTCGTGTAAGTTTATTTTAATTATTAGAATGATGTTTTATATTAGAAAGTTGCTTGTTTTTTATAGTATGAATTTGAATATTATGGTAGGGAAAGAACAGATCGAAGCGCGTTGGAAACAAAATATTTTGAAGATATACAAAAAATGAAGTAAAGTGATTACAGTTTTATTCTTAATCATTCTATACAAAAAAGTTTTTGGTTCAGAGCCAACAGAAAAATGCCACAACGTATATTTACTTATATAGAAAGTGATCCATTGTGTAATGCAAAAGATGTATGAGCGATAGAAAGAAAATTATTTAAAATTTTTTTTGTATGAATTATCTTTCTTTTGTAGCTTGACTACTATATGACAGACTCCTTGAATGAAGAGCCAAGCCATGTGGCATTAGGAATAAATACAGTTCGTAAGTTAAAAGTGCGTCAGTATCCGATATAAAATTTATCGAAAAACATTTTTTTATAGGTAAACGACGTGTTCTACAATCACGATTTAAAATCACGTAAGAATGTTACTTCTTTTATATTACACATCAATAAGATTTAAAGATAAATCAGTATCTTTTGCTACTGAATTAGAAAATAGCATTATGCATCATACTCACTGCAAACTGATTTAATATTGTAACAAATTTTTTTTTGTAGCGATCAAGACTATTTACCAAAAACGAACTTAGTTAATTATAAACCAAATCCTGATGAGTTACGTAGTAATCATTATGCAACACTACCTCATGAAACAATGTATATCATGGCTGATTTAAGCGATAATTCGGATGTACCTCAATTGACGAATCAATATGTATTGTGTACAGTTGAATATTATCCCAATGGTACAGTTGTTCTGAAACCCGATTTTAATATTGGAAAAGTTCCCTATATGATTGAAACGGGTACCGTTGGTAATGAAGTTTATCAATATTATTTGGAACATTCATCGACGAAAATAAATATGGATGATTTAATTAAAGAAACACGATTATTAAATGAAGTATCTTTGAGACATCAGACATATTTAATGCAAATGGTTGGCAATGAATTTGATATGGTAATATTATTAATTATAAAAAGTAGTATATAGAAATAACTGTTTATTTTTATCTAATTTTAGCCTCCTCCCAGTATATTAAAATTACACATATTTGGAGAAATTGTCAGTGCAAAAAATTTTGAATATGATGATTTATATGTTTATTATTGTCTTGATTTACCCAATAGTAAATACAAAAAAGAAAAATTACAAAATTAAATCTTCAAACAATGTTTTGTCTTTAGACTGGTATGCTAATCCATCTATGGTATTTGCCGGTTATACCAATACGTGTACTACTACAACAGTTGACAAGGTAGATCAGTCAACAATCCTATTTCTAAAGTAACATTTAATGATAATCTTTTCTATCTGTTAGGATGATGTGGCCTATTATTCACATCCGTTTGAATTTGAAGTATGGTACAAACCCAGTCCAGGTTCAGCTGATCACGGTAAATCAGATAAATTATATTATATGTCGCTGAAATAAAGCATTTGCGTTTTCTATTTATAGAACTTCCACGTATGCCAAAAATTTATTTTCAAGTGGCATCTCAAGACTCATGGGGAAGACATCGTACCGAAGGATATACCTATTTGGATATACAAAATACTCCAGGTACTAACATGCAGATATGATCGATTGTCAACAGCCGAGTTCTTGCTTTCATTTGCTTTGTTTACATCTTTGCTTAATTTACGGTGAAATTTTCCAATTATTGTATAATTTGTAGGTTCGTATAATGAAACGTTATTATGTTGGAGACCGCGTGGGGAACACATTTTCAATGAACTTCGACGTTTTTTCATTGGTGGTTCACACGAGTTAGAAGACATTAGTTATGTTGCAATACCAAGACAGTTCCAAGGTGAAAAAGTATGTATTTATGTTCGAAAGAATATACACACAAGTTTAGTTTCAATACTTATTTTTCATTCAGGACAACAAACCTTTGAGTCGTTTTGGATTTCGTACAATTTCAACTGGATCATTATATGTTCGTTATTACGTTGTTTATCAGTCACAGTGAGTACTCTTTCATTTTTCTTTCACAATTTTTGTTTATGTTAACACAAATATTCTTTTTTGTAGAACATTTGCAATGGAAAGAGCAAAAAGTAGTGGTGCTCATGTTATGAATCGTTATGGGTATGTCTAATAGCAACACCGAATTGACTATTAATAGCGTTGTATTGTATTTTTAGCTTCGATTCATTTCTAGCAAATATTAATACTGTTATTGGTAAGTTGATCACAAAAACTGGAAACGTCTTTCTCATGGTTTTATTTCTTTTCTTTCCTTTTAGCTGCATTTCACCAAGCAAAAAAACGTGCAGTGGAAGTACAAGAATCAACGTTACAATTATTATCATCAAGAATGCCAAATGAATAAAATTTATGCTCTGTTTAAGTTTTTTATTGTTAAAGACGAATATAGTCAGATTTTTTTTCTTCTACTCTATGTATTTCCTACAAATGAGTAGTAGTGATAACTTCTTTTTAATCATCTTACTCCGTCCATAAACGATTGTTTTCTTGTTTGCTTTTGTAATAGAAAGCGGCACTCGTTTTAGATTGTACTGAAAATATTTTTCTGAAATTTTTATTATTGTAAATACAAACAATATATCCCGTCCATTTTTATTTCATAACAGTAATAGCAATTTTAACAATTTTTTGGTTGTTTTTTTTTGTATTAGATCTGACATTAATACTAATATTTATTTAATGATAATAAGAATGACATAAGAGTGTTTGCCTGATACAAATGTTTGGTCAAATTTGGTTGAACGCTCAGAACTAACCTAATTATAACTTGCAGCAAAATCATGTGTAGCAGAATATTTTGTTAATTGAGAATCGGATATTATACATATCTGTTTATATGCTTTAGAAATTTTCAATCGCAATGTTTAACGGACGTTTAAGAACTTTAATATCATGTAACACATTTGTAAAATCTATTCGTATTTTACAGTATCCAAATTCATATTCATCGGGCATTTCTGGTAATACAGGCCAACTTTTATCACTTTTTTTACACTTAGTATATATACTAATTTTATTGTTTGTAGCAAAACAATATTCAGTTTTGAATAGATCGGATTTGACTTATTTACCAAGAACGTTCAATAAAAATTTTGTTAGACAACAATTTGATCGATATGTATCTACCGCTCAACAACCAAATATTGAAACAAACAAAGGTAATGTCAAACTTTTGAATCACAACGAGAAAATTTTTCTAAAAAGATGATAAAACATTTTCTATTTTAGATAAGGAACAATATGAATTTCAAGCTGAAACACGGCAATTACTTCACATTGTCGCCAAATCATTGTACAGTGATAAAGAGGTACTGCGAAAAAAGTAATAAAACTATTTGAACTCAGTTTCTCTCTTATTTTAGATATTTATTCGTGAATTAATTTCGAATGCAAACGATGCTCTTGAGAAACTTCGATACATTCAGCTAGCTGATAGTGAAGTGCTAAAATCACAGGATGATAAAATGGAAATTCATATTGGGGTTGATGATATTAATCGAACAATAACTATCAAAGTAAGATAAGGTAGTATTTTGTTAGTCGCTTGAACATTCATGAAATGCTCTTTTGTCAGGATACCGGCATTGGAATGACAAAAGAAGAATTGATTCAAAATTTAGGAACAATTGCACGATCTGGCTCTAAAGTATGTTCATTTAAGGTAAAAATAGTTCTACTATATCTGTTTTTAATAATTTTAGGTGTTTCTTGACGAGTTGAAAAATGAAAAAGGCGGTTTAGACGAAGGCAAAATTATCGGACAGTTTGGAGTTGGATTCTATTCAATTTTTATGGTAAAGTATTACTTCTTTTATACACGATAAACTTTGTAAAGTTCAATGATCGTGCCTTGTGTTAAAAAAACTGTGCTCACCTCCTTTTCTCTATTAGGTATCACAAGCTGTAGAAGTCGTATCTCGTTCGTACAAACCAAACGAAAAAGCGTATCGATGGACGTCAGATGGGTAAATATCTTCAGTTTCTTTTAATAAAAAAGAGTATTATTATTCTTATTGTTTTTACTTTTTAACAATAATTTCTACTCTTGATTTAGATTTGGAACGTATCAGATTGAACAAATTGATGATGACATAGGACGTGGAACAACCATTCGATGCCTTTTGAAAGATGATTGTGCAGAATTTAGTAAAGATGACACTGTCAAACGTAAGCAATAGCAATAATTAATTTACACTGTATAAATGCTATTTGCCAAAAGATTTAAAGTTTATATTTAACTATTTAGAGATTATTAAGAAATACAGTAATTTTGTGTCGGCACCAATTTACTTGAACGATGTTCGTATCAATGTTATGAAAGTGAGTAAAATTAATTTTTTAATATTTTTCGTCAAATGCTGTCGATGTTATTGATCTAGGCACTTTGGCTTGAAGATGCAAAAGCAATTAAAGAAGATGAACATACGGAATTTTATCGATTTATAAGTGGTCTTCATGATAAGCCACGTTATACGTTACAATATAAAATTGATGTTCCAATCAATGTTAGAGCACTTTTGTACATTCCACAATATAAACCTAGTACGTATCTTTATTTAATAAACTATCAAATTTTAGATATTGAATACCTGCCCATACTTCACATATTTGTTTTTCTGTTGATACTTGATTAACCATGTTTTTTCAGATATATTTGATGTAACACAAGATGCCGACATTGGTATTTCATTATATTCACGAAAAGTGATGATTCAACCAAAAGCAAATCAATTATTACCACGATGGTTGCGTTTTGTCAAAGGAGTTGTAGATAGTGAGGATATTCCATTGAACCTTTCTCGAGAACTTTTACAAGATAGCAATTTAATTAGGTTCGTGTAATCTCTCTTTTTTTGCAATTGTTCTTAAACATTTTATTTTATTATAAATAGGAAAATTCGTATGTTGTTAACACAACGTATTGTGCGATTTTTGCAAACAGAATCAACCAAAGATAAAACAAAATATAATGAATTTTACGAAGATTATAAACTATTCTTCAAAGAAGGAATTGTTCGTACTGCTGATCAAGGCGAAAAAGTAAGACTATACTGGTTCGATCAGTTTAAGCTTTTATCTTCATCAGAATGAAAATGAAAAGAAGTTTCAAAATATCCCTCCCGCTTTCTCGAATATTATGTCCAATTAATTTTTTACTAAAACACAACATTTTTGTAAAGCTCAATGCGCAGCCTAGTAAGTAAAAATCTTACGCAATTTTTAAAACTTATCTTACTAACATCGTGTAAGGTCTTACATTTTGGGATCTTGATGTCTCTACTTTCATTCCCCCTTTTGTTTTGCTCGTATGCATTTATGTATAAGTAACACTGTAGCTAAATTTTAGCGTCATTTTTTTTCACAACTTTGTTCGCACTTACCTGGAAACTGTTTATCAACTTTTAAGAGTGTACACCGCAAGTCAAAGTCTAAAAATAGCAAATTAGTTTTTGTTCTTCAGATATGTTCGACTGCAATTTTTGACAATGCAGTACAGTAGATTCAAACCAAAAATCGCTTCTATAAAAGCACTTGAACAGGATATTCAAAAATTCTTAGTAAATCAAGAATAAATCTTATTCAAAAATATAATAATTCTTAGTAAAGTCCGTTTAACAGCGACCGAATCTGAATCAAATTTTTGAATTTTTAGTCGATCTGAGCCGAAAATTTTTAAATTTAGTCGATCTCGAACGAAGTTGATCTGGAAAAAGTCGGTTCGTTTTGGTTTCTGCTGTCTAAGATCTTAAAAAAATATAAGCGAAATTATATTTAAATTTTAATAAGATTTACTTGAAATCTTAACAAAATTTCAGTAAGTTTCTCACTAGGAATAAAAGTTGAAGCAGCGAGATGACTCAATGTTATCCATGCCAATTTTTTTTGTGGTTATTTTTGTTTCTACTTCATTCAAAGCTAAGCAACTTGAAAATCTCTATACTCTTGTTGTTTTTTTCATTACATTAGGAAGATATTGCAACATTATTGCGATTTGAATCGTCGAGAGAAGAAGAAGGCTTATTAATTAGTTTGGACGATTATATTAAACGTATGCAAACCGATCAAAAACATATTTATTATTTAGCAGCACCAAGGTTCGTTTCTCAGAGATTACAACACAATATAGAGAAAAATAATCGATCTTAGAGTTCGGTTCTTCGTCCAAACGGACAGCTTTTATCATCAATATTGCATGTATCGTACTTCAAGAGTTTTTTTTTCCGAAATTGATAAGAACACACACCTCTTTTGTCTTCTGTTTTAGTCGTGATTTAGCAGAAAATTCGCCATATTATGAAGCAATACGTCAACGGGGATACGAAGTACTTTATGTTTACGAATCGCATGATGAAGTGTTGTTGATGCAATTAGGCGAATTTGATAAGAAAAAATTAAAAAGTGTTGAATCTGAATTAGAAACAGAAACAAAAAAAGATGATACAATTATAGTTGGAGGTTAAAAAGATGTCTACAATTATCTATTATGTACTTGATCGGTTAATATTTTCATATTCAGATAGTAGAAGTTTGACACAAGAAGAAGCCGCTAAACTTAAAGAATGGCTATTAAAAACATTTTCTAGCAAAATTAAAAATGTTAAAGTAACGATATTTAATTTAATTGTTACAAACGTTTCAAATTTTTGTCTTTATTTAAGATCAATACGAAACTAGATCAACATCCGTGCATTATTACCACAACCGAAATGGGAGCTGTTCGACATTTTCTAAAGTCAAATTTACTCCAGCGTGGTAAACAAGCGGATATGGTATGACTAATGATATATAGTCACACGTAGATAAAATCATTGATGTATTTTTATTTTAGTTTAAAATGTTATCACTCAATTTTGATATTAATCCTAAGTAACGTATCATCTATATTTTTAATTAATCATTTTTCGCTGTAATTTCTGCTCTATTTTTTTTTTAAAGACATGCATTGATAAAGAAATTATATACACTTCAAGGAAAAAACAATGACCTCGCAGAAATGCTCGCTCAACAAGTCTGTATAAGGTTTATTCATTAAAATTTGCCATTATCAAACCGAATATCTTTTTTATTTAGTTGATTGATAACGCAATGGTAACTGCTGGTTTAGTTGAAGATCCAAGATTAGTATTGACTAATTTGAATAAATTATTAGAAAAAGCTTTGGAAAAATATTAAGACCTTTTGTTAGGTTTTGTGTGTTGTTATACTTACCATTTTTAATAAAAGATTTTAGGAAAATCAGTTCAACATGGTTTTTCTATTTGCATAATGTTAACAAAAATAAAAAAATCGAGAAACTAAAACTAACAACAGTAGAAGAGAAATAAAAAATAAATAGAAACAAAAGTAACATTTCTTATACATCACATCCTGCAAACAGATAACAAGTATATTCTTATAAAACCACTTACTATATATACCATATTATATTCATCAATAAAAAGAAAGGACGTTTTATTAAAGTTGTGACGAGTGTGCCTGTACATCTATCTAGCACCGTTTAAGTGGATTACAAGAATATTAACAGTATTCAATGATGAACTGATTCGGATGAATATCACAGTGAGATGAATTTTTCAACTATTTCTTTTTTTGTAAGTTTTTTATAAATACGTCAGTCCACGGTACCTTCTCATCCCACATTAATGAATTTGATAATTGACTATAACGTTGTGGAAATTTGTATAATTGATATGAGAGTATTCTTCGCCATATTTCTCTCATATTATTCATTGAACCTGGAAAATGGCCAAACATTATCGTGTAAAACGATTTTGTACTCATAAAACGTGTATGTGCCAATTGCTGTGGTATCGTATATAATGAGCCTAATTGTGCATATGTTACATTTGCAGCAGAAGCAACTGCGCCCGTTATGTAATAATCATCAACCCAAAAAAATGGTACATATAAACTAGCATTATACCTAGAAATAATGTCAAAAATTAGACATTTAATTTGTGAAAATATTGTAATACTCACATTTTCCATGACATGTCACCCGTTAAAACAAACGCCGAACCACTACAATACGGTGGAAATTTATCATATGGAAAATCTTCTTTACTTAAATACCACTTTGATTTCGAATCTAAAACACAACGGTAAGGCATTGTTGATGGGCGAGAAAGGTTATCTATGCCTTGTTTAAACTAGGTATAACTGTTGGTTAGATCAACATTAGTATCTTAGATTAATTTCTCAAAGTTTTAACTTAGCATAGACAAAATGTCAGTATTTAACTTGATATACCTCTCATAACTCCCATTGCACTCCATAATAAACACAAAATGGTTCCTGTTCTATTCGGATTATGTTTATCTAGAAACTTCAAATGATTAATCAATGTAAACATATTGACAACAATATCATCATCAACTTTTAATATATAATTTGTATTTGGACAATATTTTGAGATCCATTTTAATGCCATCACACCTTTGTACGATAAATTTTTGTATGAATCAATAAAATCCTCTTGAACAATATCATGATACAATTCATTTTCGTACATAATCGCTTTTGTTATTGTTTTATCGAGCGTTTTTCCAATCATGAATACGAGGCGAATATCAGGAAATATAGCACGCATTGCCCATGTTTCTCGGATAATGGCACGTCGTTGATAATTTGTCGGGCCAGAATGAACATAAACAAATAGATAAACATCTGAGCTGTTTTGACCGCATACCGTATACTCAGGATTTAAAATATACGAAAAATTATGTGGATTTATAATATGATCTCGTGCACGATAGGGATTCAAGACAGTTGTTATTATTGGTGTCTTTGTAGATGATCTAAATACTAGTGGTACATTTCTTTCATTATCCGGTTGTGCGTTAAGACGTTGAACGGTACTATTCAGTGCAGCCGTTTCTACATGAATAGATAATCCAAGTAATAATATTAGAGACCATCGAATAATAATAGATAAAACCATATGATAAATAGTTTTTATTTAAATGATTAAATAATTGTTTACGTCATGTGAAAAAAAGAACAAGAAGAATAAAATTTAAGTTGAAATCATAGACATCCTTAGTCCATGTATATAAATGTTGCCCTTCAATTAAAAAAAGAAATGTTCGACAACGGAAACATAATAATTATTCAACATGCTTCTCTGTATTTGATTTGAGTAAATTGACAGAAAACCTACGACTATCCACTAATCTGTAAGAGAATGTATTAAACTCTTATTTACTAAGCTAATAGAACGAAGGGTCAATCAGTGACAAATGGGCGCGAGCACGACTCTAAGCAAAATCTAACTATCCAGTTAGTTAATTGAAGAGACGATGCAACCTATTGCGCTTGTCAGATAAAACTATTTAACTGTCAAAGTATGTTTAAGAGCGGGTCCGTATAACGATCGACCGAAATTAGTAGGCGAACGAAAGGATTCATTTCAAGCTCTTAGAGTAGATAGGTCATGTGGAGATACGAAGTAACTTAACTGGATTTTGTTTTCAAACGCCTTTGTACTTGTGTTATGGGTGTGAAATTTGCTATTCACACTGCGTTTCTCATGAATTAATTACTTCTTCTCTCTTAAACGTGCAGTGCAGTTCAGTTACGGAGAGGAATAGAAGCAGTAGGAATTAGTTCTTGTTTTGATAAAAGGTAATTCATATACAGAATAATACAATAATGTCACGTACACATGAAGAATGTTC